TTAAATACAAAGAAATGAATGCCAAGTTCAATACACATGTGATTCACTGCATTTGTCCAAACAGTCTGCTGAATAAAGACACACTTTGTGGAAAGACAAATAAGCTGTATCTAAAAGTACATTCTAGGCACCAACACAACTTACCGGCATTTGATACCTTTCAGCTTCATATTCATGCTGTATTTTTCTCCATATTTATTCTCTGTGATTTTCAGATCAGTGTGAGCTGAGCGCCTGACATAACCTTGCCCCAGCCAATCATGTCCTTGTGTCTGCCCCCTTTTCCCTTAGCACACATTTGACATGCTAACAGATAATAAGAGGTCAGTGACTGGCTGTGGGGTTGAGTAAACAGTTTAGCTTGGTGATCTTTCATTAGCCGGGGTACACTACATGCCCTCTAACCAAGAATGCTTTGAAAAAGAAGAGGCAAGGCAAAGGGGGTAGAGTCTAGACATTTGCATCTAGACTTTGGGATAATTGGCTGTTCAGCCTAATTCTGTATCTCTGAAGTGAATAACTGAACTAAACGACTAGTGCAATGGCTGAACCTTTTGATTTAGTCTTTGGAGTTCCACCTGTGGTGCCAAAAAAAAAAAAAGTTGTTGATGGACAATATATATTTTATTCACAGATCAAGTGAGAAGTGGTATACATAGGGAAAAAAAGAGGAGCAGTTAAAAAAATAAAATATATACATATACCTATAATATATATTTAATAAATATTTCTTTATAAAAATAATTTTTTTTACTGCTACTCCCAATTTAATGGTTACTTTTTTTCTGTATAATGCAAAATATATACATAATATTTATATGGTATACATCTTAGCCAATTATCGTGCTATTTTAACTATGCTGAATAATTTTTCTCAAAATAATCTCATAGCCAAAACCTTTTGATCTGGAACGCCACATGGACAAAACCCGAATTGCTTGTAAAAAATATGTTTTGGTCATGTGCTATCATTATGATATATATACTTTTTTACTATGCACTAGGCATGTGCAATTAGTTTAATTCCCGAATGCGGACGAATTTCGTAAATTTGGTCATTCGGATGCTTATGAATGTCCGAATTTCGGAATGCCGAACCAAATTTTGGAAGTGCCAAATTTCGGAAGTGCCGAAGTGCTTAGGATTTCTGACAAGTGGCAAAACAGGAGAGGGTAGGGTTAGTGGTTGGGGTAGAGGTAGGGTTAGGAATAATGGTTGGGGTAGGGGTAGGGTTAGTATGGTTATGGTTGTATTTATTAAGTGCACAGTTAACAGAGTGAATGAAAGTGCTCATGATGTAGATTAAAGACATAATGTTAAATTGCTTACTTTGGATGAGACGCAATGATGTCATGTATCATTACCTTCTCATTATTGTCCCATCTGAACAGTGAATTCATATGTTCTGTAGCACGTTGTTGTGCTATTTCTTGACCAAAAATAAAGAATTTAATTTTTTTTAATAAAAAATATAAAGGCATACAAAGTGTAATAAATGGTCTAACACACTGTGTAGGTGAAAGCCAAATAATTTTTAATACTAACAACAATAAATTTAACACTTTTCTTTTTTTGTTCTTTAAAAATGTCTTGCCCAATTGCTAGAAAGGCATCATCTATGGAACATGTAAAATAATAAGGAGACCTGGAACACATCCCCTCTGTCCCCCCATTAATGGGCATTTAGTGGGGATTTAAATTAAATAGATGGGTTTCATTGATGCTTGATGTCATCATGCAGAGTGTAAGGATGTCCAGTCATTTAAGGGATTCAGAGTCCCTTAGAAGCCCAGAAGTGCCTCTAGTGGCTGTCTTAGTGCTGCAATGTAATCATTGCAGTTTCTCAAAAACTGCAATGTTTTACATTGCAGGACTATGTGGGCCAGGGACACTGCACCCAGACCACTTCAATGAGATGAAGTGGTCTGGGATGCCTATAGTATCGCTTTAAAATGTATAGATACAAATCTGTTTAAAACAACTGTCCTGTTCCCCATTTCTCAATCAGTTTATTCCTTTATTCCTAAGATGAGGATTGAGTAATAAGGGAGAGCAGAATGACTCTCCTACAACTGGTTCTACTGCTCTCTGTCACAGTGATATTTCCCCAGTTTGCTTCTCATACTTCTCATGCTTGCAGTGAAAATACAGGGCAATCTGATAGGAATGTGCTGCCAGTGAAGCTAGTATGTCACTTACCCTGGTAGGGCATTGATCCCCTGGTGTGCATCATTAGGGATCAATTCCCTACCAGGGGAAGTGTCCACATGTAGGACCGAGGGGACAGGTCCATTATTGTAACACCCACAGATTTTCTGGGTGGTGGCCACGCTATAGCGATGGTAAGAAGGTAAATAAATTAATTACAGCTCATAAATATGTAATTTACCATTATGATAAGTGATATAGTTACTGCCTTAGTAACACTTCTATTTTAAAGTCAACCAGGGATTAAAGGTTCTCTTTAAAGTGGATCTGTGATGATATGAAAAGAACCCAAGGTGACATCTCCATTTAGAGTCTGGTACTAGTGGAAGGTATTTGCTTCCATATTCTTCCAGGGAACCCTCTTCAGTTCCTGGTGTTTCTTCTGCCAAGAGCCATGTCAGTGCAACACCAAGTTCCCATGACACAGCGGGGACCTCCATAGATCATCTCTTATGACCATTAGACAAAGTTTGAATCCTGATTGGACAAAAGTTGACAGTGAAGCATCACCTGTAACCAGTAGTCCCTACTTTATGTTGTGAACTATGATATCTTTGGATATCTTACTTTCTATGAAATTCCAATGCAGTTAGCATGAGTATTTCATAGAGATTACTTATGAAATACTCAGAAGTGACAGAGCCACGTTAAATCACAATTTCATCTGTAATGTAATTTTTTTGTTCCATTATCAAAGCCATGCTTTGAACATGCTTTAAGTTTGAATTTTAGATTACAGCAATGCAATTGTTAAAATAATGATCTTAATAGCAATTCAAGCCCTTGCTCTTTTGAGTTTTATGCATAACAGTTATGTGGTGTAATAGACCAGCAGTTGTATAAAATGTTTAGTGACATTTTCATGTAACTTTCTAGAATCCCATTGTCATGTTAACATTCCTTAACAAAAGTCTGTAATTGTTACACCGAAACTTACAAATAATTAGGAATATAATTAATATTTGGAAAAAATATAGTATGAAAATAAACAAATGTGATATAAAAATCAGAAATATGCTGCAATGTGATAAAAATGTAAATTGAATATTGGGAATGTATTTGCAGTTTTATGAACACGGTTACATTTGTTGAACAGCATATATATGATGAATGAGTTTGACAGACTGTAGAGTTAGTAGAACTGTGGCAACATATGTACAATGAAGTACTTTCTAAAATGGTTTCTGACATGATTCTAATTCTTAAAATTTTCAGTTTAATGTTCCTGTATTTATTTAAATTCTGCTAAAGTTTCAGCAAGCAAATAGATCAATTTAACTACCAGGCATTTGCACTTTTATAATGTTTACAAAAACTACCAGTACTAATGTTATTATGTAAATCTAGGGCATGTTATTCTAAATCTCTTACCCAGGACACAAAAATGGCTGCCATGTTATTTCAGTGGGCCGATAATAATTGAGACAAGTGCCTCTTATTCTTTATGACCCTGGGAATGTCCTACACTAAATGATCTAGACTCTAGAGAAGCAGTGACACTTTCCTCAGTGTAATTAGGATACCCTTTGACACTCTGAAGGGTCTAACAAAGCTATTTGCAGAAGTTAAGAAAATTGAAGAATAAGTCACTGAACTAACAACATTAAATAATAGGTAAAGATTAATAAATAATATATGCAAAAACCCATGAAATCTCAGTAGACAAAGATTGGCAGTATAATGAGTCACACTGAGGATCTTAATGCCTTTAAATACGGCACAGTCAAAGGATGCCACCTTTTTCAACAAGTCAGTTTGTGAAATTGCTGACCTTATAGTTCTTCTCCCGTCAACTGTAAGTTATATTATTGTCAACAGGAAATGTCTAGATACAACAGAAGCCCAAATGCAAAGGGCTACACCACTGCTGAGGGTGGAAGCATGACAAATCATTGTTTGTATCACTCACTAAATAATTCCAAACTGCCTCTAGAAGCAACATTAGTACATGAACTGTGTGTTAAGGACTTAATGAAATGGTTTTCACAGTGGCGATGCTGTACATAAGCCTCATACCAACCTGTGCAATTCCAAGCATCAGATGGAGTTGTCTAAAGCATGCTAAAACAGGATACTGGAGCAGTGTAAAGGTGTTGACTCATGCTTCACTGTCTGCCAGTCTAATGGAATAACCTGGGTATAGTGAATGCCAGGAGAACACTACCTACCTGAATGCATAGTAGCTACTATAATGTAAAATAGTGATAATAACCCAGGCTCGGTTTTTTTAGGGTCTGGGCTAGGGCCTTCAGACCCAGTAAAGGGTCATATTCATGCTACAGGATATAATAATATATTTTTCAATTCTTTATTTTTGTAGTGCCAAAGAAAATATACAGGCTTACATGAACTTGTCTCTTGAGCATAAAAAGATCAACTGAGAAGAGTTAGAAATTCATGAAATGTCTAGGGAATTGCACGTTTTATAATAAAAGGAAATACAGGAGCATAGTTCTAATAATAATAGCAGTAATATATTAAAACATGTTATAGAAAACAATAGAACTGCAGATAAGCGTATAAGACAATGACCACTTGGTGCTCAGCGTGGGTTAATGCATACAGGCAAGTAGGACATTATAATATAGGAACATAGCTTAGTCATGAGAAATATTGTGCACTGCGATAGTAACACTAATATAATCAGGCTGCAGGTGAGAGTCAAGGGGAACTTAACTGATGCCTATGGAAGGAGTTTCCTGGCTGTCCTTGATGCCAGCAACCATGTTGAGGCCCCTCCATTGAGCCAAGGTCTCCAGAAAATCTTGCTTGCTTATTTTCATGAGAGTAATCTAGTCTGTTACCAGTGCATGTATCTGTCTTGCACCCCCGGTATAGTAAGGTGGGGGCATCTGTGTCACGTTGGTCACACTGGGGGCGAAGAGGTGTGTGTCTCTGCCGTCTGGGTGAATGATGGGTATTCGCATTGGAGCGCTGAAATCCAGCTGCTCATCACGGGGGCCTTCTTGCGCCATCTACTTCGCTGTGAATCTCCCGAGACACGTGGGGAATGGCTATATTTGCGGCTTTTGTTGACCGGACGGCACTGGGGCGCTGTAGTTCATCCTGCAGAGGCTAAGGTAAGCCCCCTTTCACAGAGCTGTGCCCAAAAGGCTTCACAAGCCTGTATTAGTGGTCCATGTATGTGGATGTTGACAGGGAGTTGCTCATTGCGGTAGGCAGTGGGTGTGGTGCCCTCTTGATCGCTAGGCCTTGGTTCGCAGGCAGGCAGGAGTACCTGGCTAGGTTACCACTCAAACACACCAGTGGGGACTGGGATAACCCCCACTTGTCCAAGGGGGGGGGGGGGAACATGGCTCAAAAGCTCCAAATCAAGGCTGAGGATGAGCTTCCTCCCCGTCTTTGAGTGCAGCTGAAGGCCGTAAGGCACTATGGGCTGTATTCGTCTCTTGCAGACCAGAGATTGCCAAAGTTTCGACCGAGAGCTCCCAGGGGTGGGTTATAAGCTTTTAGCCAAAAGCAGGGTTTAATGCCCAATTTGAGGCTTAATAACACAATTTCCCTGAAGAGCACCAGCACCATGCGACTGTCTCTTTTGACTGGCAGACCCCGCCCTTAAAAATAAATTTTTGACAATTAGGTGCTTTCAAATTTGTGGTAACATTTTGGGGAAGACTTTTCCTCTCCCAGCTTGACAGTACTCCTGCAAATATAATCTTGGTGTCCTTGTGTATATTATGGTATTATGAAAAGGGCGTTGCTTACTCTTTTCTTGTAATTTTTTTTCTTTTTTTGGGATAAATATCCAAATCCTTACATTATGTATTGAAGTTCTAACAGTTTTTCTTTTTAGCATGCCCCAAATTTCCAGTGGGGGTAGAGTTCAAATTCAAGATCAATCTCTGAGTTTGGAACCAGATTGGTTTTAGCAAACACTCAATGTAATTTGATAAATGTTCTCTTATGATCACATTTTACAATACAGATACACATTTGGGATAATAACCACCTTTAAGTTTAACGTTTTAACATTAATTATCATTATATTAACACTACTACTTTTAAATAAGACTTTATTTTGCTTTTTTGAAAACTGTTTAAATTGTATTTTTCTTAATATTTCCCTTCTTGAATTGACCAAGGTTAAAGTCTGCCAAGGTTTTTTTTTACAGCTTGCAGTTTCATGTACTGTAGCAAAAAAACATAAAAAAATGGCCATGCATCTCAGATTATGTAAGTTATTTGTATCATGCCAGTAAGGTTAAACCCTTCACTGCTAAATCAAATGTGTTTAAAAAATATTAGCCCAAAATGTTTTTTATGCATGGGATGGTATATAAACGTAGTGGATATTTGTTTCATCATTAAAACGTGAATTGTGCAGCATTTAACTCAATCACAGAAGGGCAGCGGCTCGACACCAAAGCACAAGTGGCCAGTATAACCTTGATACCCAAAGAGGGCAAAGGTCTGGAGCAGTGTGCTAACTACCGACCCATATCCCTTCTGAATTGTTACCTGAAGCTGACTGAACCCATATCTGCCTGACCTGCTGAAGCTGGATCAGGTGGTATTGGTCCCCCACCGCGAAGCCAGGGATAACAACACGCGAATGATGTCATTGATACACCAGGCGAGGATGACCAGCGAACGCTTCCACCTGCTATCCACGGACGCTGAGAAGGCGTTCCACAGGGTGAGCTGGGACTTTCTCTTTCCCACTCTACGAGTCCTGGGATTTGGACATCAGATGTGTGGCAGAATAGAGGCCCTCTATGAAAACCCGACGGCAAGGGTCTGCATCAACGTTCCATATCCGAAATGGCATGCGACAGGGCTGCTCGCTCTCGCTGCTACTCTTTGTTCTGGCCTTGGAGCTGTTTCTGCAACCTGGACATCCAGGGTATATATGGACGACCTGTTTTTTTGTGATCCAGACCGTACGCAGCTTTCTTCCCACACAAACAGGTTCAAGCCCGTCACATGATTAAAGGGAAAGGCCTCAAGACCCTAGAGGATCTTTTGGGGAACACTACAAGAACATCCATGCATAGGTTCAAGTACGAACAGCTAAAAAGGCACATCACCCACATACCTCAACAAACTGATCTTCATAGGGCTCTCACCCCTTTGAACAAAACTGCATGGCCTCTGCACCACAACCACACGCAGTCTCCTATCTATACTACTCCAAACACAGGGGAAAATACCAGCACCTAGCTACATGGGGAAATGGGAAGAGGCCCGTGGGGAAACCCTCACAGACACCCAATGGGGGAAAATCTTCAACATAGTACTTTACTGTGCCTTGGTTAGTAGAACCCAAGAGTCAGATTATAAAGTCTTAACACAAACACCGCTCCTCCTTCAGAAGATCAACCCTGCCTTAGATGGCAACTGTTGGCGCACTGGGCACATTCATGCATATATGGTGGGAATGCCCTAATATTCAACCCTTCTGGAGGGCAATTAACGCCATTCTCAGGAAATTTTCAGATTGGCTGCCGCCTTTCAAAGTGACCACCACTCCTACAGCTACATACAAGAGATCCATGTCCATACGAATCCTAAACACAGCCAAACAGGTCATCTCCCTCTAATCCCTCTCATCCCCCTAAACACTATGGTTTGACAAAATGGAGGGCCTACAATGGTTAGAGGAGCTGACCCTTCCGTCCCAGGGACGTAAACAACTATACGCAGATATCTGAACTCATTGGTTGTTAGACGCTTACCACCCAGACTTCCAAGCACTGTTGACATACCATTCTCCTACAGACGCAGTTGAAGGGGTGGAGGTCAAAGCCAGATAAGGGGACAGGCCCTGGGTCACTGGTGGGAGAAAGACAACTAGATGGGATGGGATACAACCTCTAACAGATGTTGGCGTGCTGGAGCGGTTAGGCAGTTGACCTGCCGACCCTAACTATTTATTGACACATAAGTTGTAACAAGCCGAGGAAGTCAGGAATTAGTCATGCTCAATGACACATTGCTAGGGTGTGGACTCTAAATGTGAAAAGGGACATCGGGGAGAGGGTCAACACTTTACCGACTGTTTCTGCGGACATACTGATTAATAATGAAGGACTCCAGGGCCCTAGCCAATGATCTACATGCTCTTGACGACTTGAATTTAGACCCATATTATTATTTTTCTACCTTGACTAGTTTAGAGACAGTGACATAGGTTACGGAGAAAGGGACATTACAACTGGGGGAACACACTACCTGTTCATGAGGACTTGATGGCCTACGAAAAGGTCTCAAGAATCCCAAGTTATGTCTCTACTTCTATTTTGTTTTCTTTAACTAATCATGTTGATGCGCCATCAGCCCTGCATGGCTGACTGCAAAGTTATTATATGCTCTCACAAAAAGGAAAAAAGACTTACCATAACTATATGCATATCTAAGTGCAAGTAATTTCTATGTGGTGAGTAATACATCTATAATTTACAGAAAAAAATGTGAATTGTGGAAAAATTAAAAAGGATGTTGTGTGCAAGGTATCAATTATGTTGCAGAGGGGCAGTCCAGTATTTCAGTATTGGCAATTATAGCTATAGAATATGTGACAAATATAGATAATCAAAAGTGGTCTAATAGTTCATTTTAACATATCTCATGATTACAGTTACACCAAGCATCTGTTCTATACAAGGTTTTTGTAGGCTGCCAAGAATCCCTGCAATGTACTCAATATGCTCATACTCAGTCATACAGCTGTAACAGCAGTGCACTTATTGACAGCTTCCGTCCTCGAATATGTAACATTTATCATCAGCTTCTTATAATGTTTTTATTTCTTCCATTAAAATGAATTGCAGGCCCTCAGTACTCCATTTTAGATAACATGGTAGATAAAAAAACATTACCACCCCATAAGATATTTAACATACACGTTACACCTAAATGAGGACCTGGTATAAAGGAACATTATAGGGTTAGGAATACAAAGCTGTACCACTGTCCTTCTGCCCCTGAACCCCGCATCATCCCACTGTGGCAATCAAAGGTTCAAATAACCCTTTAAACACTTACCCGATGAACCTCAGCGCTACTCTATCTCCACCTCCTCTTACTTCAGTGTGAGAGGGGAACCTAAAATGTATGTGCTGCTCATGCATTAGGCCTTCCCCATAGAAATGTATTGAGTTAAGTCTTTCCTATGGTGATTTGCAAGACGGTGGACATCCTGATGCAAAGTGTAAGGATGTCTAGCGACGTTTCATGGGGTTTAACTCAGAAAGTTCCTCTAGTGACTGTTTGGTAGGCAGTTAGCTTCTCTAATACTGCAATGTTTTAAATTGCAGGGTTATGGGGACAGAGACACTGCACCCAGACCATTTCAAATAAATTAAGTTGTCTGGATTTCTAAAGTGTCCCTTTAATAAGCTTTCCAAATGATTAAAAATACGAGGGCCGACAGGAGGTATGACATAGACATGGTTTGTCCGCATAGCACACAGACGATATATAAAAGTATATGGTAATAAAAAGGCTAGATATTTATTTCCAGTTCATATTCTCCTCTCCGACCTCTCAAATCTCTGCTTTCAAAAAGAAAGTAAACTAAAAAATAACAGTATGGGTTAAACAAATAGAAGTGGTTAAATAAAATGCACACAGGTTCAAGAGCTAACAAGACCTTAGAGCAGGTTTAGGCAACCTTTCAATAGTGTAAAGTGATTCAGCGCACATACAAAGAATGAATTTACCTTATGGAATATATATAAATATATAACATAGGTTCTTCTTGTAGAACAGGTTCTTTAACCTATATAAAATAGATATAGATATACATAGTGTAATCTGTATTTGTGTAAAATATAATAGGTAGAGATAGTCTGTAAACTCACAATTTTTTGAGCCTATTAAAAGTTGGCTCTGAACTTATAGAGCCAACTTTTAATAGGCTCAAAAAATTGTGAGTTTACAGACTATCTCTACCTATTATATTTTACACAAATACAGATTACACTATGTATATGTATATCTATTTTATATAGGTTAAAGAACCTGTTCTACAAGAAGAACCTATGTTATATATATATATATATATATTCCATAAGGTTAATTCATTCTTTGTATGTGCGCTGAATCACTTTATACTTTGTATCACATGTTTTTAAGTGTAATATAGTGACATTGCACTTTTTTTTTTTTTAGCAGCACTAATCACTTTTTTCAAAACCTTTAGCGCTACTTTATCTTCTGTATCTTTAAACCTTTCAATAGTACTGTGCCAAAACTAAATCTTGAAGTCCCTTGGTGTGCGGGTCCTATTTTGTTGAGGTGCGGATGTTGCAATATTCTGCTTGTGTTGTTTATTGATGCTGCAGTTGCTTTGTAGCATTGCATTTATGCATATGTAGGCTGTTATATTGTACAGAATATGTTCATGGGTAGTTTGTGGTATTGTGTATGATACCTATGAATGCGGGTTGTATACAGCGGCTACTTGTGTAATTGTGTGTGTGTGTGATATGTCACATTGTGTGCTTGGTGGTGAATATATGTGTGGGGCTGCCAATGGTATTGCTTGTGTGGTGCAATGCAGGTGTGTGGATTGGCAATGGTGTTGTGTTTGTGGAGCCTGTGTGTGGGTTATTTGGATTATTTGTATGAGGGGGAATAGTGTATTTAGCAGTATGTCTGGCTTCTCTTCTCCAGTTCAGATTCCCATTCACAAGTGTGGGCAGGAAGCGATCTGAGATCACTTCCTCTAAGTGCTGCAATGTTTAAATTGAGGATTGTCCCTCACCACCTGCAATCTCATCTCAGTTCCACTGAGACTCCTGATAGGCCTTGAGAGCTGTGCAAAAGCACCTCAAGTGCCACCTAGGTTGCTGACCCCTGCCTTAGATGGTCATGATGGAAATACTATGGCAGGAGTCCTCAAACTCAGGCCCTATAGATGTTGCTGAACTACAACTCCCATGATTCTTTGAATTACATAGATAGCCAGAGAATCATTGGGAGTTGTAGTTCAGCAACATCTGGCAACTACTATGGCAAGGAACTTTTTTTCTTAACATATATACAATTCACAAAAAGGTGTAATGAAATGGACGTAAATATGAGTAATGGATAGACAATAAACACAAGAGAACACTGTGCATACCTGGTGTAAAATGGAATCATAACAGCTTTTGACTGTCGAAGATGTTTATGCATAACAACTTTATTTTTACCACAAGCATAAAAATTATGAATCTGCTTACACCAAGTCGACAAATTTTTGAAAATATAATGTTTTTGTTTATATCTTGAAACATTAGTGTCAGTGCTTGATATAATGTTGCTCATAGTTAGGAGAAATAATATTCTCTTTAGCAAATGTTTAAGTTCTACTTGTCAAAAGATCATAGTGTTTCTCAGGGTTTTAATTGTCAGTTACTATGTTTGTTACAGACTTTAACCCCCTCTCATTATATCTCTTCAAAAGCTATAGTTGATAAATGAACTGTCTGGAGCATTATCAAAATCTTATATGCTTAGAAAAATGATGTTGTTGCATTTTAATGCCAGGAATCAAAAATGTGTATTGGTAATTGCTTTTCATTTGAAAATGATAAATAACAACAACACATTAAAAATATGTTTGGGCACTTCTGTGCAACAACTTGCCACCATCAGACGAAAGAAGCCAGATGACACCTAATTGCAAAATAACCTCATATTTTACATTTATACACTTCATTTATTAGTGCTTGTTAATGTCCATAAAAGATTTTCAAGCACATTTTCATTGTGTAAAAAAATGCATTTATAATGTAAAAGTACCCTATATTTGTTTTTATTAATGAAAACTTCACAACCAGATGTTTTTCCATGCTGCTCAATATCCATGCACAATACAATGGTGTTCTTCTCCATGTAGTGTATTCATTTTTAAGTGCAGTAGTCAAAACATCCTTGCAAAAATGTAAATGTTTGTGCCGCTGTCACTGTTATATAGTTTCAGCTCAGTGATAATGAAAGCAGGGGATAAGGAAATGGCCTTTAAGGGAGTTAGGATCAGACAACTGAAGTAGGAGAGAATTTCCAGCAACAGTACAAGATGACAACCTAAGTAGGGTGGTCAGAAAAAGAGCTACAGTTCAGGCCATATGGCAAAGTGTATGCTTTAAAATTTGTATTAAAAACAAAATCTCCAAAGTGTATTTTTTACTTAGGGCTGGAGAGTTTTATAAGGAGAGGGTACAAAGGTCATTTCACCAGAGACAGACACACTGCCAGCTATAAATGTTGTCATGTCCTCTTTCCTCCTTGTCCTGTAGTTTATCTTCCACCTTTCCCAGTGGTGTCTACACTTGACCCTCTCTGATCATAGGCAAAAGCATCTGTGCCGTGAAATGCAACTGTGCTGCACTAGGAGACTGGAGATTACATTGCAGTTCCCCACTTCTTCACTGGAAATCACACCTGGGGGATTCATGAAAAGGCTCGAGGAAGGTTGTCTCCATCACAGCAATCTGGGTTCCACTCTCCCTAGTGGAGAACCATGCAACAACCACAAATGATCAGCTTGTAACTGCTGCAGTTCTATGAACATGTTGCGGACCACAAAGAACAGAGAAGCTCTATTCTTCCAGGGTGCACTTCTTGGAATTAGCTACTTGAAAGTCCTCAAGAAGTACTGACTTGAAGAGGAGTCATGATGACAGACATTAGCCCACTCATCAACATGTACTGCCATTCCTGCCATCATGAAGCTGTTATTTCCTACATTTATATGGCTCACCTTCATGCCAGGGCACAGTGGGCATTAGTTAGATGAGGAGGAGCATAGTTTATAAAATCCAAGTAATCTTTATGAAATAATTTCTTAAAACAGCAAAATTATACACATGTATATACATGTGTATAATTTTACTGTTTTTAAGAAATTATTAAACCTCACAAGCCTAACCTTTACAAATCAGATTAGCCTGTAAATTGAATATCAAGTACAAAGATGCATATATATACAAACTTAGTGAATACCTAAAATGCAAGTGTAAGTTACAAGTCACTATCCAGCCAAAGGCTACTTTTAAATAATAGGAAAATCCCAGATTACATAGCAGCACTAAATGAATGTATGAGAAACAGAGGAGAATGAGAGGATATCAAATCAGATTAGCCCCCTATACTTAGGCAAAAAGCTTTTCCCTTGAAAAAGCCTGGGAAGGCATCCAGTTATATCTTCCTAACCCTTCTCTCTATTCCCAAACAAGCCAGCCCCACTCCCTGACCACATGTCAAGTTTATGATATCTAGTTAATTTAGATAACTGATTCTGACTCAATTCTTTGATCCAAAGATGGAGTTCCTGGAATAGACTGATATATTATGCATCTATAGTTTTATGGCACAATCCTGGCTACAGGCACTGCTACTGATTTTCTTGTCATCAAAACATTTTCATTACCAGTCAGAGACACAAACCAAGAGATAACCAGGTTAAACCATTACATGCTGGAACAGAATCATTACCACTGTGCATGACATTGATTACTGTGTCTAAAAACCTTTACAAGATAGAAAGCAACCCATATAAAGATAGATACAACATAACCTTTATTTATATTCAATATATAAAAAAAATGTATCAGGATATATCTAACATAACAATAATGTAGTCTTAAACATGCTAAGAAAATACAAACAATCCACAGTATATATGAAAGAAAAGAAAATAAAAACTTGAAACAAAAAAGAAAAGGATAATTGGTCAAATACCTATGAATAGCATCTCTTAGTCAACCGAAGCAAAAGTACTAAATCAGTATCTTAAGTTAGATAATATCCTATAATGGAAAAGGAGTGAGATGAAACAAAAATAACAAAAAAATTTAATCGAATGTAGCCATTGGAATAACAAGACTTGTAAGGTATTAGCTATTGTCTGCCTCCGATCCTCCCTTCCCCTTCGCTCTTACATTTCTATTCAATCATGGGTTACCCCCCCACATCATATTCAGCAACCTGACACACTCTCCCTGTTTATATAAATCTAGTAATATTGACTACTGTATCTTTATATGACTATACTCTTACTTTTCTTTGTACTTATTTGTCATTTTGTTTTTCATTTTTGTAATGTTGTGATTTTTCAAAAAAATGAGTCTAGCCATATCCCAATCTGCTATCAGGTTAGCACATGCCAGGGATGGGCCTAAATTCTAAAAACTAAAGGGACATTCAAAGCAACAAAACAACTTTAGCTTAATTAAGTAATTTTGGTGCATAGATCATGCCCTTGCAGTCTCACTGCTCACTTTATGAGATGAATTATTTCTGTTTATGCAGCCCTAGCCACATCATCCCATCACATATCCTGAAAGAATGCGCACGTTTTTTAATTTCCCTTAGTGTGTGTTGAATTTAGAATTTCTTATCTCCTGCTCTTTTAATTGCCTTATAGAGCCTACAACAGCCTCCTGTGTGTGCTTAAAGTTCAATTAACAAAACAGGAGATAACAACTTTTATAGTAAACACACTATATTGTGACATCTGATTGGAAATAACTAATGTCTTTATTCTTGCTTTTCTTCTTTCTTCCATTTTCTAGTAGACTCTGGATTCACCCTCAAGTCCACTTCCAAAGTACGACAAGCCTTGCACATGAATTTCACATCCTGGTATGCAGTACTACTGATGAGCAGATTATAAACCCTATTACAAAAAGAAAGATCAATAGTATAATACTCCATTAGACTACATAGGAGAAGGGTCTGGTCCACCCCAGATGACAATTGAGAGGGGGTGCAGCAAGCAACTTTGTTGCACTCTCCTCTATTAGTTAAGTAGTGCGGTATGATTGCATTGAATAGCTGGCTGTGCAGAATGTGCTTGTTTCCAGCTATGCTTTCTTTGAGAACTTAGTGTCAGCAGCATATTATTCATGGGTTGACAGGAGTAGGCATAACATAGAAATGTGGTGATATGTCATG